TTCTAGCGCCCATTATTTCCATGAGAGTCATTATAGTTACTATCGTATTTACTCATATCCATATAGATTGAAAAATTATGATAATATCTCAAATAATTTTCCAGGTGGACTAGTTAAATATGTTTACCAAGTATCATTATATGATAAATGTCCATTTCAATATGAATTTTTTCTTCGAATTGTTCTATCATTTTCATTTATAAAAGAATTAACTGTAATTAATAAAAATTCGCAGAAAAACAAATCAGAAAGCGACAATCAAGATGTATTAATTATTAAATATCCTCATCTTACTAAACTCAATCTTATTAAGGCTCATGACGATTATGTCAAATTATTTTTAGTTAGCACTAAATTATATTTGTCAAATAATCTATGTCTTAATGACAATTACGAATCTTTAAAACTAGAAACACATAATTTTGATAGCGATGCAACATAGATTAATTGTGTTAATATCGATTATGTTTGCTATCATAACGTTCTTCCATTTTTAAAACATTTCAAAGACTATTTTCTACATGTAGATAAGCCTTGATTACGTTGATTTTCACCTATTATTTAAATAAGAACAAAAGAATAGAAGCAATTGCAACTTGCGTTACATTAAAATGAGATTATTACAAAATAGAAAAGGAATCAAAACTTTTGAGAAAAAAGGTAAAAACTGAAACATCGGATAGAGAACATTAGTAAATATTCAAGAAAAAAGAAAAAATATCTGAATATAAGTATTAAAATAGTACACTAAATATTCATTGATCCATAGAAACTTAATTCTCAAATTTTCAAGTAAAGTGGTTTAATTCATTGTTAAGTTAATGTATGTATCTGATGAGAGAATTAGATTTTTTTGCTCGATAGAGTTTTTGATTGAAGAATAATTTCCTACGAAATCATAATCGAATCTAGTTATGATGCTAAAGTCTTGAATGAAGAATTGCTCAAGTATATCTTTTATAAATATCATGAATAATAGGAACTGCATGCTAAGTAAGGCATGAAAAACAAAAACGAGTGTAAAAATATTTGTATCTATCAAATAGTTATTGGTAATTATATATGTGAGAATGAGAACATGGTTTGTGTATGTTAAAAATTAAAAATATTTGACTTTGAATCTCGTCATCATTTTTCTCTACGGTTATTCTTTGTATAAATTAATAAAACTACTATTTAGGCACAAAATTCAGCGATATAATTTTGTCAATAGTGTTTTAATTGAATATTTATTTTAGATGATTGTAAAATGAGGCAGCAACCACTACATATTTCTGCAAGAATTGGTTTTTACAGCGTGTAAATGTTTCATAAAAAAAATTCAACTAAATAGTTTCATGTATGAGAAAAATATAGCCAAATTACGTTTTTATTTCAAAATAAACAACTCTGTGTGCTTTTGAATATAGCAAAATAGTCAGAAAATTTTATTTTAAACGCCATAAATCCATTATCATATGCGTCACAACTTTTTTACTGCAAGACAGAAAAAAAAAACTAAAATGTAACTCAATACTTATGTATAATCAAGACTTGATTTTAATCTTTTTTCTTTCTCTGTTCTTTTCGAACTTCAGGTGCACATGTTTAAATAACGTGCAACGTAAAATTTTGCATATTGACTAAAAACGAACTCGTTGACTCGTTCTTTTTTGCGTCGCATTTCTTTAGCATGTATAAAAGTAGAAAAAAATTCTTTTCTTACCAAATAGTTTTAAAATATAAGCGCAAGCATTTAATTCATCGATAATAAAACAAATGAGTAAAGTTTCATATTAGACAAAATTTCTTTATATATTTTATTTTATATAGACTTTGTTACAAATAAAGTAGAAGAGAAAACAGGTATGGATATAAATAGAGATGGTCGTGTTGGAGGAGGTGGTGCTACTGGACAAATAGAAAAGGCTACTCATATGGATCTAAATCGTGATGGAGTTATTGGAGGACAAAAAACTTCAGGAAGTGGAGGTAAGTAAACTATCTTTTCTTTTTCAAAATGCACTGAATAATCTTATACATCAATAAAAAAAAAAGCACTACGATGAAATAGTAGAATGTTTTATTTTATGTTTAAACTTAATAAAGTTTTTCTTTATGTTCAATAGGTCTTATGGGTAAAGTTGAAAAAATAACACATATGGATTTAAATCGAGATGGACGAATCGGTGGTGGAGCTGCTCATCAAAAACATTAATATACTTTTTAATAACGTTTTTCCTTTAATTTTCACGTTGTATATAAAGTTTTAAAGCTATGCCAAACTTGTATAAATAAATGTTCTTAAAAAGACAATCGAATACAAAGTTATATCAAATGTCGTTTAAGAAATTCCAGTTCTTGTTATTTTATACACCGAGCATTTTTCTTTCACACAGATTCAATATCTTTTCAATTAAACAAGTATTCGCATCGTTGACACTCATCTTTCTTCGGTGAATCAAAAAGAAAAAACAAATTTTCAACATGTACGGATCTTGTGACGTCACATATCTTGTAAGTGCAAAAAAATCACGATAAAAGCTTGGATTTTATTAGAATCTAACAACGGAAAGTTGCAAACTGTAAGTTAAGGAGATCGACCATATTTGGGTCAGACGAATGCTCTCATCACCAAACTATCTAAATTCAAATATAATGTGCTGAAAATGAGTATGGGCCGAGATATTTGATTTTTAAGCTATTGACAGCTTTAGTACAAGAACATTATTTAATAAAAAAATATTGAAATTCAATTTTTTATAGAATCATCAGCTTTTTGAAGGAGTCTGTTTTTAGAGTCCTCTTGAAATTTATTGATCACAATAGGGTGGCGATGGATTCAGTTTCTTCAGAAAATTCAGTATTACTGAACTGAGGAGAAAATTGATAATTTTCTACCAAAACATATAGTTTTTCAATAGTTTCAATCTTATTTTTTTTAAGAGGATGGTTCTCAATCAACAAAGGCGAATTTCTGTCAGTTTCATCAAATTTTTCTTCCGTTCTTTTTTGAAATAAGTTTTTATAACAAGTAACGTTCATCGGTTCGATTCACTTGACCCTCGACTGTATCAGACAGAAGTATACAAGTCTCATCCATGGACAACCAGTTATGAAACAGCTGATTAAGGGAGAACTTATCACATATGTCGGATTGACTGAATTTTCATTCTGAAAAATTGAATTGGTTGAAAATTGAGTATTAAAAGCACGAGAATCGAATATTTAGCCAACGTTTTTTTATGATGTTTCACCTTCCACTATGACAAAAACTTATTTTATTTCATATAACCATTCCTACACTCGAGAAAAAAATTATTCTCTCAAAAAAAACCTTTTCTCCTGAACCCAAAAAAATTCAATTCAAAATTTCGAGAAACTGACCTCAGATTCGGATTCTCTGACCTTGATCTGTTTTCGTCAACCTTTATACAATATCGTTATCTTCTCAACAAACCCTTTTCTTGACCCTAAAAACCCAGTTCAAAGTTTTGAGAAACCGATTTCAGATTCGGATTCACCGACCCCGATTTACTTTCGTCAACCTTTATGGAAAATTTTCTAAAGTGGAAGATTTTTTGACTCCGATGTTTTTTTGACCCCGATGCAGACACATACACAAACTATTTTTTTTCATATGACCCTCCCTACAGTCGACGGAATAAAAAAATTCAATTCGAAAATTTCAGCAATAACGATGAGTATTTAAATAAATGGCTTTCTCTTTGAAGCATTAGATACTGATCAAGCATGCTATACTGAGTATAAGGATACAGCTTATATGCACATTATACAGTAGTTTTTCGATAACTTCAAGCACTTTAGGTGTTATTAAATTGGAATGAATTGTTCGCGTTCATAAGAAAAATTTATATTAGTGACGTACTCATAAAAAAGCTCGTCAATTTTTTATTCGTTTTAATGAAACTGAAGTTGTTAGAGTTTCGTGCACATGAGAACGTTCCATCAAATTACTAGATTTCAGTTGATATCTAGCATTTTTTTTTTCTGATTATTAAATGCAAATGGGATAAATCAACAGAAGGTATACGAAAAGCTGCAGAAGTCCTTTAAATTATAGAAGTCGACTATATTATTGTCGAAATATCCGTTATTCAACTTGAACCATGCTGCTAAATCGTTAATCAGACAAGCCAGACAGCAAAAGTAATTCTCTTTGAATGGATAGTTCTCACACGAACGAAATAAATTGGCACAAACGACTGACTAGACAGAATAGTAATATTCTCTATGAACTGTGATTTTTTCTTCAAATAGTGTTTAGATTTGAACTGAGATTATTGTTGTTCAAATAAATATTGCAAAAGTCTACTTATAAAAAATATTGATCAATAATTGCAGTTTTCTTTAAATAATCATAAAAAAACTAATGTAAAATGAAAAGAAAATATGCAGTATTATTTAATCCACTCTCTTTTCTTATTTTTATTTTGTTATTTTCGAACATGCATAACTATCAAACCATCTATCATCGTTGAATCGACTCTTCTTCATAATCACTTTTCAAAGTTTTTTTTTGTTGTATAATTAATCAGATGATCGATATTTGATAAATTATGGTCATTGAAGATTCTCTGTCAAAAATATATATCTAATATTCATCAATATCCTATTTCAACAAACAAAACGATGTATTTTTCTGTTTTTATAACATCAAGATGAAAATATATGAATATATGAATACGCGCAATCTGTTTTTATTTTTGTAATCATCCAACTGTGTAATCGAGTAAACAAGGTCTATTCATACCTTAATGTAATAATACATATTCGCAAATATATTCATATAAGTTACCTACAGCACACACTGGACGATAGAAAAAACAAGAGAGAAAGAAAAAGATGACTCACAGAGTATTACGATAAGTAGCCTTTGAAGCGCTGTTATTATGTATTTACATTTGTTGTGTTGATGCTTTGGTATATATGTGATATTTGATAAAGCTGGTAACAAAACGAATACCTAACAACGGCGACAGGTCTACAAATTTCAAAATATGTTTTCGTTATTTCTATTATCTTTCTTTCCATTTCTAATTTTACTTCTAATTCCTCAAACGAATTGTAAAAATGTTACTTTTGTTCCACAGCCAATTCGGATAACAATTGCGAGTCTTCCACAACCCTATGCTTCATCATCTGCGTCTAAACCACCTCAAATCATTGCAGTACCTTCAAATCCTCGTCTCTACGTTCCTAAGGGATTCATTGTGAAGTTATATGTGAGTGGGCTTACAGCACCACGTTATCTTATTTATACACCTACAAATGATATCCTTGTTAGTGAATCAAGTACTAATCGAATCTCTTGTCTAGTAGATAATAATCACGATGGTTATCCAGATCAACGCTTAACATTCGCTGATACATCTAATGGACTCAATTATCCATTTGGTATGGCTTTTAATAATGGATATTTTTATGTTGGCAATCGAGATGCTGTTCGACGTTATTCTTGGACTAATGGAAGTCGACAAATTACAGGTACAGGTGAGGTGCTAATGACTTATGGTCAAAATGGTCATATAACACGAACTATAGCTATATCACCTATTGATAATCGAATGTTTGTTAGCATCGGTTCGGCATCTAACGTTGATGTTGAAGCATTGCCACGAGCTTCTATTCAACAAGCTAATATCAATGGTACTAATCAAACAACATTTGCTTATGGTCTTCGAAATGCTGTTGGTTTAGCATTTCATCCAATAACTAATGAGCTACATGCAACATGTCAAGAAAGAGATGCACTTGGTGATGATCTTGTTCCTGATTATTTTTCACGTATTCAACAAAATGATTTTTATGGATGGCCTTTTGCTTATTTGAGCTCAAATTTACTTGACCCAAGACGACTTCTAAGTAATGGAACAAGTGAACGACCTGATCTAGTAGCACTAACCCGAACACCTGATGTTCTTTTTCAAGCTCATTCAGCAGTACTTGATATGAGATTTTATACAGGCAGTCAATTTCCTATTCGATATCGAAATGGTGCTTTTGCAGCATTTCATGGTTCATGGAATCGAAACAGTGGAACTGGTTATAAAATTATTTTTATTCCATTCGATAACAATACTAATCGACCAATGGGCTACTATGAAGATTTTGTTTATGGATTCCTAACGAATCCAACTGGACCTGACACCTTTGGACGGCCAGTTGGTTTACTCGTTCTAAAAGATGGTAGTCTTTTATTTTCTGAAGATGGTAACAATCTTCTTTATCAAGTACAATACAAACCATAATACTAATACTATCACGAGAAACACTATTGATAATATAATCTGTCATTGTTTCAAGTTTTATTAAAAAAACAAGAATAATAAAAGAAATAAAGAACACGAATTTACTTTTTTATGCATGCCTAATTGATCCAGATGATCTTTGATAAACAGCGTGTCGGATCAGGATGCAGCTGAAAAGAACATCTTATCTATACCCTTATATCTGATATCAATAAATGAATTTTATTTATAAATATTGCACTTGTTATAAGAGAACCTCCAAGTTTATAGGCTCAATCAGTTAAATTTGTAATCAATGAACAAAGAGATTTCAATCAGGTCAATTCAACAGCCACAAGCGCTTCGAAATGAATGAGGAAAAAAAAATGAATAAATCATTTTTTGACTGATATAGGAATAAATATGAATTTGTTATGAATACAACTTATCTAATAACTGTACAACAATATGTAATTAATATCAGATTAATCATTGATTTAACTCTTTTTATTCTAAACTTGTATGGTTTAAGAATATGATCAACTAAAAATACGTGATTATGTTATTAATAATATAAAAATGATGTGTTTTTGTTTTGTTCATTTCATTTTGCATACAATGTGTTAAATTTTCGGTCTTTTTCTTCCGACCATCTTCAGAATAGACAACATGACTAGTATTGAGAAACGTGATTCATTTGAATAAAATAAACCAATTGATTATATAAATAGTCATATTAATAATGTGGATAATAATGTTATCATTGATACCATGGTTTAGTTGTTCAAATTTGTGTCAATAGTAATTGTATTAGTATTTAATTCTCTAAATAGAGAAATAATATGGATAGAATGCATTCATAAAAATCTATGTTTACTCCTATATGTATGTACTTGTATTAATGAAACTAATAAACATGGTAATAACATTATTTCTCTATTTAGAGAATTAAATACCAATATAATTACTATTGAAACAAATTTGAACAACTAAATCATAATATCAATGATATCATTATTATCTACATTATTGATATGACTATTTATATAATCAATTGGTTTATTTTATTCAAATGAATCACGTTTCTCAATACTAGTCATGTTGTCTATTCTGAAGATGGTCGGAAGAAAAAGACCGAAAATTCAACACATTGTATGCAAAATGAAATGAACAAAACAAAAACATATCGTTTTTATATTGTTAATAACATAATTATGTATTTCCAGTTGATCATATTCTTAAACTATACAAGTTTATAATTAAAAGAGTTAAATCAATGATTAATCTGATATTAATTACATATTGTTGTACAGTTATTAGATAAGTTGTATTTTTTGACTGAGGTGTTGCATCTTAGATCGACGGTTATCCTGTAGATATTCTCTTTTCAAACTTAGCTTTTCTTCTAGTGAAGTTTAATCGGTTTTAATCCTTTGATCTTTTCTTACATGATTGATAGTCACCGCTTGTGTGATAAAACCTATTTCATTGTCAAAATATTGATTTTTATTCGAGGTATGCGCTGAACATCTTTATTAATGTAAATGATTTCAAAAAAAAAAAATATATATATATAATATATTTATCCATTTACTAAGAATAGGAAAATTTCTTAGTAGCTACACTGGTTGATGGAAGTTGCTTTCTTCATTTATATGTCTACGAAATGCTTAATCTTGATCTACGAAATACCGATTACAATCAATGAGAATTTGGATTACTTCTTTATTTGATTTTTTTCTCTAATCTTTGATTGTTCTTGTTGCTACAAATTTGTATCTAACATGTAATCAATATTATTTTTCTGTTCCTTAAAAAAAGTCATACAAGGCAGTGATGAGAACTTGTGAGTTTCACTTCTAAAATGATTGTGCACTTTCTCGTTTTCCCAGTGCCTTGACTATCTATAATAAAAAAATTCGGGTTGCAAAGAAAGATAATCATTTATGAGTAAGTCATATGTGAAAAATCTTTCATTTTATTTCACATTCTCATGCCAAACAAGATTCAAGCACTTTTTGATGGTGCAGAGCCAGGATCATAATTAACTCGGTGATAACAAAAACAATACACTGAATCGGTTATTAGGCTGTTTTCGATGAATGAAAATTCATTGTAACATTTTGAAACGAATCGATATGTATCACTATTTTTCTTTCATGTTCAATTAACTGGATAACAAGCTTGTAACGGTGGATATGAATCTTGATCAACTAAATAGTGTAGATATATCTTATTGAAAGCGTTTGTCCTAGATCGATTAAGAGTTACAAATGCTTCTGTTGATTTTAATTAATCAATAGTTATTGATATATGGCATTTGTTCAATTGTTGTTGCGCCTTAAAGCAATAAAACAGTGATGAATTTTTTTAATTTATCAAGAGATGGCGCTGTTTCGATTAAAGATTTTTACCTACTTACACTATCATTAAGAGCCATATCAACAAATTTAGAAACAAGTTGGTCTTGTTTTGCATCATATTGAATTTCATTATATATCTCAGTTATTATTTGAATATCAGTTTGAAACTGGTCTGAATATAACTTATCGACCGGTATCACAACAGATAATTATGATGAACATTCATTAATTACTAATGATTCTCTAAATGCATAATGCAAGCTGATGATTGTTTTATATTGACTATAGTATCTGGTCTTGATGGTTATTGATGCTGATTGTTAACAGTTTCTTTAAGTTTCGATAGTAATTTTTCATGTTTTCCTTTTATATTGACACTATTATGAGGAATATCACAACGATGTCTTAGGTTTTTGACAACAATCATTTCGGAGCTCAATAAAATTTATCTTGGCAATTCGCTGGTCATTTTGTTGATGAATCTAAATTTCTCGATAGACAGCTAAAATAAATGAAAATTATAATTATTTGGTTAGCATTTTTTTCTTCAGGTAGAAAAAAACATGGAATATTTTCGTTTTCATCACAAGTGACGAAAAATAGAGAAAATGTCAATATAAATGTTAGAATTCAAGCCAGCTTAAGACTTATTGTCTTCGAAAACTGAAGACATAGGGTATATTTTTTTGTCAAATGAGAGAATGCTCGAGACACACTTTTTATCAAATTTCAAAGTGCATTAGACACATTTTCTATCGAATGAGAGAAAGTTTGAGATAGATATCGTTCGTAACTAGAGAAAGGTGAAATCCAACTTGCAGAATGAGAACATAGAACTCTTCATTGGATCGTGCCACACGGAATGCAGTATTTTCTTGATTAAAATGAAGTAAACAAAGAGAAAATGTTAATTATTTCGATTAAACTGTTCCACTGAATTCTCTCCTAATCTAAGAACAAAAGCTTCGACACATGTTTTCTCACACATTTCATGAAGCTGAAAAAAACAAATTGCATAGGGTCTATAATAACAGAATGCCTGACTGAATCATTGCCTATGATGATTACAATATGAATCAGTGTCGTAAAAACCGCTCGGAAATTTCCGAGCTCACTACAGTTTTTCTGTTTGGTTCTCTTTATATTCTACGGTATCAATATTTTTGAACTCTTTCAAAAAAATTTGATATCATTCGAAATCAAGCCTCTCAATAAGTGTGAGCGCATTCATACCGCCTATACTATCCACATCAGTTGTTTTCGCTAGGTTTTCGAGTTTGATTATTTATTAAAGACAACGCAACAAAAATTGTCATTAGTTAGAAGACTTAACTGACAAAGAGAAGTGTGTCGCCATTTGAAAAACTATATTGAGACAACATAATGACTACGATAACCAACACTGTTGAAATGGAAGAGAGATGCTATATTTTTTTTCAGTTTTATTCGTAATTCTCTTCAATCCATAGCCTATACTTGATTAAGTCAGCAGATTGAATGAGTAGAACAGGAATGTCACTGTATAATAATCCATTTGATATTTGCTTTCTTTCTTCGAAAGAAACCAGTGTGTTTTTATTCATTTGCAATAGGATAGGCAAATAGATCATGAAGGAACGGATGAAACCATCTTTTTATCGTGTTTTTTTTTGCCGTTCTCTTATTCGAACGCAAGCATATGCACAAGACATAATTGTGTTTTTATCTTTTAGTAAAGCAGCAGCTATGAATTCGAAAGATTCAGCACAAATAACGCAGGACATGGAGCAAGACTATAATACAAATCTTCGCACTCAAATAGCTGCATTCAAATTATCTGCTGCTTATGTTCGACGAGCAATAGATGTCCTCCAGATTGAAAGTTTGTCCTTGTCATGATTAGTGATTTTGGTTCATCTCATGACTCCAATTCAATGCATGCTATGCAATTAATCATTCAAACATTGAAAGAAGCCAAAATACTTGATCAGGATAAATAACAGATTCTTGTCGTGCATAATGATTTACCAACAAATTATTGGACATTTATATTCGGTATTCTCATCAAAAATAGTTCATATCACGAAACTGATAGTGGTTGTTCATTTTATCAACCATATTTGTCATCTTATTCACTTACTATCGGCTATACTTCAGCTACATTGCGTTCGCTATCGTACAAGCATTGTAATTGATCTAGTCAATGCGTGTAATATCGCTCCAGTGTATTGATGCCCGGCGGCGTTTTAATTTTAGTAATCCTCGAATATAATAGCAAAGCTACTCGGGATCATGGTGAGCTCCTGTTTAGATGTGCTGGAGCATTCTTATCACCTGAAAAATACTCAACTATACAGTTTCAATATATTGTCGTTTTTGTTCTGAATGTGTCGATCGTTATCTTTTTGAAAAATTTAACCTTGAATTAATCAAATCAGACACTGTTAACGTCAAATCAACTCTGAGAAAACAGTTACGAAATGGCGAGAGAACACTCGACAGTTTGGCTAGAAGACAGACCTTGACCGTACGTATTGCTCCCGAATACCCACTCAATCAAGCAATGATCATCAGTAGGCAACGGTCAGTAGAGGAGATCGACACGATATTGGATCAGTATTGAAACTTACATGAGCAAGGAATGAAAGAACAGTTCGATGACTTCGAAACTTATATGATAGTTATGAATTCAGTTTTAAAAAAGATAACGAAATAGACTCTCGTATGTATGTAAAACTTTTCCCTTATAAAATAATGCTGTACTAAAAGACAATGAATTAGAACAGTGTATTGGTAAAATTTTCAGAGTAAAAACATTCAGTAGTAAGGCATTAGATTAAGAATATCGTCGAACTACTTATAGAAATTTTGAAATTGTGAAATCAATGATCTTTTAAAAATAATACAAATATTTTTATTGATTTTCATCAATTGGATGGATATTTTCACCTTTTTTTCATATAAGGCTTTTGTGTACATAAAGCACTTTAACACTTGTTATCCTCACAAATTATACTCATCTCATGTCTGTCTTCTAGTTACGAAAACGAACAGTTTTATTTTTATACTAATTTTGGAAATCGATCAAAACTCATTCATGTTTTTAATGAACTCTTAATTGATTAAAATTAGATTACAGCAGAGCTAATCTATCACAATTAATTTTAAATTCATCAACTGGAGTTTTGTTGATTGAGATTTCAATCGATTGAATAAATTTAAATCGATTCTCAGCTAGAATCGGATTATAAGTAAAAGAAGCCAATAAAAATTTATTCAGTTGATTACTTTTTCAATCTAATTATGCTGCAAAAAGTGAATGGTTCAAAGAAGAATTCAGATTTATCTACTGATAATTAAAATTAATCCTGATTTTTATAGAAGTATTTTTTGTTGGGTAAAGGTTTCTGATAAAGTAAAAGCTTCTTTATCAGTTTGAATCCCAACGACTGTAGTAATTATATGTTTTCAAGGTGGTCTTAACAGATGATAAAATGTGTTACATATTTAGAATCGATCCTAGCGAAATAGTACGTGTGCGTAACAATCGATTTATATAGTGTTGATCAGAATTTTCAGAGATCCTGAAGCTTATTCGTCATTATCATTTGGTAAAAGCTTCTTTCAAAAATGCAATCTTTTTTGCTTAGTAATCATTCAACATGCATTCACACATACACTTAAATTGGTCCGAAAATGAGCAAGCAAGAAATCAAGTTGATCATCATCATTGAAATCATAAACAGCTACTGATGTCGAATAGTAAATTGTATCAAAAAAACAGGTATACTGATCGAACTATTTCTGCAAATTATAGAGATTAAATCACTGTGTTGATCATTGTTTAGAACGTCTACAGCTAGTCGTGGTTGATTGGACATGGTGGCATAAGAGCTGCGAGTCCAGCAAGTACGGTTGTCAAAGTCCAAATGTACACTGACATTATTGTAGTAGTAATTAGTGACAGCTAAGTCTAAGTTTTAGTCATGATTGAAATCAGCTACAAGTACTATATTTGGAAAAAAGCCTGTGGCAAAAGAAAGCCATAGAGCAAATATGCCATCGGCATAACCGAGAAGAACACTGATAGTATTCGCGCCACTATTTGTGACCAATTAAGCGTGCCTTGCATTATTATTTAAATCTGCGATAGCAATGAAATATGAATAGCTAACATCTGGAAAGAACATTGTTAACTGAAAAGTACCGTCATCTCGACCAACTAAGATGTCCACATTGGTATTGAATAGGTATGTGACAGGTATGTCTGCATGGCTATCCCTATTGAAACCCTGGACACGTATTTGAAATGCATTCTCTAAAACATCGGCAATGATTGGAGGTTCAAAGCTCTATTACCATATCCAAGAAGCACGTAAATATTGTTGTTGTCGTGATCTGAAGCGACAAAATCCATGTTATTATCATCAATGAAATCTCGTTTTCATACCAAAAGTATGTGTCGAATGCCACATCCCAACAGATATGACCTAAATGTCAAATAGGGCGATTTTAACAAGTACTTCGAATGAAACACAAGATGTTGTGAAATTTCTTATCTTAATTTCGGTTCTTGATGAAAAACTAGGCTAATGGTACAAGTTCGTCTTGAAAACAATACGCATAATTTTATTTTTGTTTTCTCATTACTGATATTCACAAAGACACCAGGATAATTTTTTCCTCGAAGAACTTCTGTCGAAGAAAGGCTTAAGAAATGATTCAAATGTTCCTCATACTAGTAAAAAGGGGTACAAGTCGTTATCTACTTTTGTGTCCGATTAAAATGGCAACCTACCACGAATGACATCAAGATTCTTTCAATTACGACAATTTATGTTCTCATATGAAAGAACAAATGGTTTAATTACAGAAAGAAAATAGTTGCTGATTAATGCTATCTTCTGTCGAGTTTTGAACTTCGGAAACGTTTACTCTGAAAATGATCAAGAAAATATTGTTTTCTTCCGCACAATTAGAACGTGTTCAATAGAGTTCAAATACTCACTTTCCATAGTCTCATGTGATAGACTGTTAATGGTTGTTGTTGTTGTGACAGCAACAGCGTTACTGCTGAAAAACCTCCTTGTTATTCTAGTAGTGATACTGTTAGTGCTTAAGTCGGTCAATGCACTATCTAAAACATTTTGCATCAGTTTTAGCATGAATGGAAACGTCTCACTAAGATAGAATATCTTCTGAAAAGTAATTTGGTCTACTTACTATTTGTATACATCGTATTCCATGTGGCATTAACGATTGCTGTCGCTGTGATTAATCATACACTGGATGTTGTTGTTCCTAACACAGATAGAATATATAGAGAAGTGACCGCTCTGTTCACCCATTCTACATGTTTATCGATGATCATCAATTACTCAACTAGCTAATTGGAAAGAGGTTTTTTTATAAAATCATACCAAAGTAAATCAACTCAGCATTTTCATGTATTCATGATTGCTGAGCAATTGAAAATTTAAACGTGAAATCATATACTGATCTATGTTTGAGTGAAACGTTCTTCGGTTCACATTGTAAATTAGAAGAGACGAAATATGTGATATGGAAACTACATCGAGTAGTCTCGAATATCACGTAACATAATATATTCCAGCTTATTTTCGTTTTTGAGCAAGCTGCTCACTCAATCTAATCCATGAAATAATCATCTCTTTTAAGTGTGGATGGGTGTGGATATAGGCATTAGTGTGGATCTTCTCTCGACTTGAATTCACATTCACATCTAACCCACAACCCTCACACCCATCATCAACCTAGTCATACATCCACATCCTTTTTGAATCGACTATCACATCTGAACAATTAGAAACGATGGTCATCACTCAACTAGTTTTATTGATTGGTGATGATGGTCAAAAAACTGAAATTGAGTGTCTTAGTTTAATCCTTGGAGGACGGAATCTTTTTTAAACGAAAAACCGTTTCTCGACTTTTTTATTTTATTTTAAATGAAAATGGCTACATAAAAATCTTATGATTATCAAAAAAAACAATTCTTCTCATCTTTTAAACAAAATCTTTTTTGCTCACATCCTTACAGTTACTGATTTTCTTCTGCTCGTTACTTTGTTTCTTTGCTATCCCATAAACGTTTGTTTGATCAGTAATCAGACTTAAAATTTCTTCGGTAAAAAAAAGTTCTGAAGACTGAAATTGGAGTTAGCTCTTTGAGAGAGATTGAGGTAAAGCCACCATGTGTGATATAAATTGCATTTATTGAACGCAGTATCTCTTCATATACATCCAAATCATCATCAGAGAGTTCAAGCTCATCTAAGTTATTGACTAGTTCGTCGAAATCGAAGTCACTCTCGCTAGTGTCATCATTGGCAGATGAATCACAGGACTCGTTATTGAATTCATTATTTCCATAGAATTCCATTTATTTAATTTTAATGGTACAAACGGTATAAAGAAATAGAGTACGAGTTAGAAGGAAAAATGATATGCTTTATGACCTTAATGACCTCACATATGTAATAGTTTAATGTGAAATAAACACTTTTTTCTTTACTGAAAAATAGGTGGTCCAAAAATGGACCACCGGTCCTCAAAGGGTTAATTGAATTGATTGGTTTGAAAGATTGATCGTCAGATAAGGTAATCGATTTTTGTGATTCATGAGGGTTATCCAGATGAAACTAAAAGAAAGCTCGTCAATTGATTTGTCATTCATCAGCTGATCAGTCGATCGATAAAACATCGAATAAAATCTTAGAACAAGAATTCCGATCAATTATTCATTAGTTAGAACATCTAGACGAGCATTTGATTTTCGACTGTGCTTAATTGTTTCACGAGAGAAATTTTCAATTATTCTGGTTTAAAAGATATTTAGTTGATTATTGGTTAGAAAAAAATAAAAATAAAACATAGCACATGATAAATCAATCACAGATAAATATATGAAAGCTTCCCATCAATCAGTTTGTGCACTACGACAGATTGGACATTGCGTTGAAGTCTAGAAAAACAGGAAATCAAACTCAATTACAAAGCAGAGTTTCTTCATCAAATACCTTTAACCATGGGTCAATACATTCGGGATGAAAGATATGTTTACATCGTAAACGTTTCACAGTTTCACCAGTTTTATATTCACTTAAACAAATCGTACATTTATCATCGGTAGATTTCGATTTCCTTGGTTTTTTATATGTCATCGTTGGTATACGCTTAATATCACTGTCAGATAGACCAACGGATGGTGTTTCACCAAGAGCAAGTAATTCGAGTAGATCCTAAAAAGAATCAAATTGATTAAATAGATTATAATGAAGAATTTACACCAAATCGAATGTGAACAGCAGCAGGAACAGCAAGAACATCGGGATCTTGCGTCATCCATGCAAAAGCAATCATATCAATCGGAACCGAAGGTGAATGATCATCGTCATCATCATCATCATCGAATGATGGAGTACGTCCGCCAAAAAAACTTCTAAAAGAGAAAAGTTTTTGTTCGAAAGAAACATTCATTGAAAACGAACTGAAGAAAATGAGTTAGAAGAGAAGTCGGATTATGGAGTTGTATTGCCGTAGATGATTGTGAAGATAATGGCATTTGATGATGAGAAGACCGGTGAACTGGCACAGTATGTGAGGACGATGAAGGGTGATCAAGAGATCGAACGGGATTCGAACGTTGACGTGCTGATGGAAGATCTGCCGATTGATGATTTCTAGAAAATATCAAAAGTAACAGACATTATGTAAAAATTTGCTTTATTTACGAATGTAGTAGATGGGATTGAGAAGGATAAGTTTCTTCTCTATGATGTCTTGGATCATTTTGACGAGCATTCCTTTCATATCTTGGTTCATTTTGGTGAACATTCCTTTCATATCTTGGATCATTTTGATGACCATTCCTTTCATATCTTGGTTCATTTTGATGACCATTCCTTTCATATCTTGGTTCATTATGATGGCCATTCCTTTCATATCTTGGCTCATTTTGATGAGCATTCCTTTCATATCTTGGATAATCTTGATCATAACGACGTGATTGAGAAGCCGAGGAATGGTTTGTCGATGGTTGTTGATTTTTAAAATAATGTCGATCAGATGAACGGAAAAGCTCCTGATCATCATCAGGATACAATTGAGGATATCGTGCGTGTGAAAGAGTAGATGGAGCTTCCAATCGATATTGTTGGTGCGGTCGATCATTCGATGAATTCTAATATTTAAAGCATCGACGATTTGTTGAATCAATAAAAATTTCTGACTTACGTTCATCTGATTAGATGATGATCTTATCGAATTTGGATATCCGTCGAAATGAGAATATTCCCCTTGATAATAATAAGGAGATGGAGGAGGCTGGAGAGGATTTCTCTCACGATTTGGTTGAAAAGTAGATTGAAACGCAAAATCACTTGATGTTGGAGGTACATTTCGTCTTGATAAACTATCCAATGGTTGTTGAGATTGAATAGTCACGTGACGACGAGATGGTCCATAAGAATCGTTGAAATATTGACGCGACATGAAGAAAATACGCAAAAAATATGAACTCTACCTCCGATAGGTATGCTTGGCGTATTTTGAATATACGAGCAAAGTTATATAATGCAAAAGAAAATCGAACTTGCACTCTAATACACACTTTTTCCAACCATGATTCATTCATACTGTGTCAAATGACAGATACGGCCAATTACATCTATATGAAACATGTACAATAGCAGTTAGCGACATCTATCTCTTTCTCATTTCATCCCTTATTAGGTAAGGAAATTAACAAGAAATACGGTAATTGTGTCCTTTTAATAGTATTTATTTTCTAGAGAAATTAATCACAAGTAATACTCGTTCATGTGACTCGGTTGGTTCTCGACTGAATATTTGGCTCTTTTGGTGTTATACACTGCTTTACACTTCTCAACAAAACTAATATCCAAGGTTTGAAAAATGATGAACGTGACTATAGATATTGATATTTGCATCAGTGTTGTTGTGCATGATGATATGCGTGTCCGCGTGATGCGTTTTGCCATTAATCCATCCAAACAAATGCATAATGACGCATTAATACCGAACAGAAATCTAAATAAACTAAACAGACGGATCAATATACACACGCACTCGAGAAAAAAGACTCTATTCAATTTACTTAGAGGATCTTCAGTGAAAGCACATCTGCGACATTAGCATGAAAACGTATCACACTCATTGAAAACTCTACTACAAATCTGTATGGTTAAGAGCAGATCAACCGACAATGGCATTTACTAGAACGTTCGGTACAAAAATAAAAGTTTAAATGAACTTCTAGCTTACAATAAATCATATTAGATCAGACCTATAAGCGAAATTTGCCGCTTGAGAGACGAGTGTGGGGCCGAATGGATTGATTAAGAAGTGCTCTACCGATTCAAAGGCTGCTTCTCCTAAGTGCCATCAACTAAAATAAAAATCTTAATACTTAATTGAAATATAAACGAACAGGAAACATTGATTAGTTACGGCCTATTTAATCATTTATTTAAGATAAAGCTTAAATCAACGTAGTGTTGATTACCAGTAATTTTATGAAGAAAAAAAGCAATTAGAGAAAAGCATAAACTTATAGCAGTCTACAGTAATGAGCACAGCTCATAAACAAAAATTTAAAAAGTGACGAGTATCGAATTAATCAGTAGCCGTGGTCCGAAAGGACCGGATGCAATGCTTCAGGCTCACAGCATGAGTTGTGTTTGGCTTCCGATCACGGCTCGTCTCTATCTTTTTTATTCACACTATATTTCACTTGAATTAATATGCATGTTGTGCAATTATTTTTCGTGATGAAGGATGCAATCTCTTACGAATGTTGTGCAATTATAGTAAGCAGCACGACATGTTGCTTGTTAAGAAAAGTAGACTTTGACATTGAATTCGCTTTTATCTTGGTTCGGCTGTAAGATATATTTTGAGTGGATGTTGATGTTAGTAAGCAGATGAACAACACATCAACACCCACATCCACACTCATTAGAATACTCATAGATGTCATAATACCATTACACTGAGTATCGAGAGCCAACCGTCAAAATACTCGCAGAGTAATCAAGTGTATTCATTTTCCCGATCTATAATTTACGAACAGGAGTAATAACTTCCATATTCCTCACATAAACTATATATCCTAAAAGTTGAGCGTTTTGAGTGAATTTGGTGTAACAACGTCATTACCCCGGGGTAATACACCAAAACCACTCACAATGCTCAACGTCATAGATATATAGTTTCTATAAGGGTAATGAACTGATTGCCCATAAAATAACGATATATCCTAAAAGTTGAGCTTTTTGAGTAGATTTGCTGTAACAACGTCATTACCCCGGGGTAACACACCAAAATCAGTCAAAACGCTCAACTTTAAAAAGTATATAGTTTCCATTGCACAGAGTGATGTCATTACCCTTGGGGTAATTGTTGTTGCGCGGTGGATACCTCGTGTAACGAGATTATGACATCACTCAGAATACATTGTTTTTTACGTTGTAGTTATGATGATGAATGAACAATAGTCAAAGCAATTTCTTCTTTGATAGCATGCGGTAGAACTATATGGTTAGTTCAGCCGTTTAATGCATCAGCACGAATTAATGAATGATTAATGAAATCAGATCAAATAGCATAGCCATCGATAAATGCAATATTAAGAGAAGTCTGACAATGATTAAAACCAAAAAATACTTTGTCACAAGTACCACCATTATAACTATTGTATCTATATGGAATTAATCACATAACAATTTGATTGATATAGAGATAGATTACAAGAATAGGTTCATTTCTCGATGAATGAACAAAAAAACATGACGTTTTAAATTTATTTGCATCGCTTTTAAAATATAATCGTCTCATTTAACAAAAGCAAGTTGTATTTCTAAATCTGTGATTTATTAACGAAGAAAATTATCATAAAAGTTCGACAAATAATGTCTCCTTTCGAAACTTTCATAATGAAGGTTTTTTTAAGGAAAAGGTCTCAATAGTGCGCATCATGTAGGTTCTAATGAGCTATAAATACTTTGAAAAGAAATCAGTGAGTTAGCTGATTGTCGCTGAGATAAGGCATTATTACGTTATTTTTTAGCACAATGCCATGGTCTTCTCATGGACATCATGTAAACTAGGTTTCAAATTTCAACTCGAAACGTTGCACAGAGAAAAACTTCAATCAGAATAGTTTTTTGTGAAAGCTTCAGATTTTTTCGTTTTTTCTGCCGTAAGATATGACTATGGAAAACCCATATATTTTTTACATTTCTCATACGTTCTCGATAAATTTCAATGTTATCATTTCAGAATAAGAGCAATTAGAAGATCGAAAATTTTCACAATAAACTATTCTCATTACAAACTATCTCTATAGAAAGTTCCGAGTAGAAATTCGAAACTCAGTCTTCTGGGTGCTTCTGACGGCAAGTTCTCTATAATGCTATCAAGTAATGTAAACAAGCAGTATCTTGACAACAATAAACTAATGGTCTGAATCCTTGTCACAATTTTCATAGCTCATTGGAACCTGCATGACACACATTCTTTCAACTCCAAAGCGAGTTATCAGTTGCGAATCTTTCCTCGTAAGCAGACCAATAATGACAAGAATACATCTTCACTGCACATACTACAACCAAAATCAAGCTCAAACACATGATCTAGTAGAACTTAAAAGTTATGTTTATCCTATTCTAACATAGGAAACACGACAAACTTATAAAAACCATAAATTCTTAAGAAATTTGTCGTATTGTTTATTGTATGTTGTAGTTTAATAAATACATCATTAGGTTACTATTTTACGGAAAATAAGAAATAAATTTATTTTAAGATATAAACATAGTCCAGTCTTTGTAAATGTCTATTAATCCAACATATTCTACAATTTATAGTGTCACTTGTTGAACCTAGTGGTGCAGGTGTATCCCTATCAATAATTTAAACAAAATATTTGCCATCAATATTGATTCTTCAAATATGTGATTGAGTTCAATATGCATAAAATAAATAATCAATTAATAGATCAATAACCAGGTACTTTCTTTGTGATAAATATCTTGAATTAAGTACTGTCATCTCATAGGGGTCATCTAATGCACTAATAGGAAGTTCATGTGTATCCATTAATTGATAAAATTATATTATACCTAATAATGCTATGAAACCACGAGAAATACTTCATTCGCTTTAGTTATCAAGACCAATAGTACGAATATAATATTTACTCTCATTAAGTACACATGGGACGATGATTGCTATAATGTAATATGAATCAACTTTTTTTAGCCGTAAATAAAAACAGAAAAAAAAGAAACTATTTGTTCCATAGCAACTACGTCCATCAACACCTTTTTCATAATCAGATGCACATTTACATATAAAAGAGGGTTTGAGGTGTGCCTGTGACTGTTGGTGGGTGTAGGTATGTGGGTGATAAAGATGTGTGTATGAGTGTTGGTGTCTGCGACATAGTTTGTAGCTAAACCAAGTTTTTTTGCACATCTACAAATGGTCTGAGTCGGGTGAAAATAGCAGCTGCTATGAATTTCATCTAGAAACTAAACCTAGAAATGAATACTTTACTCTAGCTTTTAATTATTAATTACTTCACCTGATATTGCTCTGATGATACTAAGTTCATAATTAAGTAGAATACGACTGGGTACAAATATTCTATTTAATTGTGTAGCTAAATTTTTTAATTCTTTAAACATTTCGAGATAAATATTTTTTACAATCAGGCAATATACAGAATACACATGGAACGCCTACATTGAAGTAAAAATATGATAAACTAAGGGTAACAAATTAATTAATAGCGTCGAATTTGTCAACGTGTATAGAGTAAATTTGATCAGAAAAAGGTCGAGTGGCATTAAATGTGCCATCCATCATCATCACCGACCTGTCGAACACGAATTCTTATTGTGCTTTAGTATAAAACATAAGCATCGTTTTTCTTCTTCGAATTCATATAGCTCGAGCTAGAAATAATTCATTATTACATGTTGTATGATAAGATTCAGGATTATCAAATATAGATGAACCGGATAAAATTGGTGCCATTTTTCTTTTGGTATATGTTAAACCGGATTCCAAAATGAAACTTGTAATATACAAACACGTGTTCTAATAATTGTGTCCTTACGTAATTCACGTGTTAATGGTACAATCGCTAATGTTTGTGGTGGAAACAGAGATGCAACAACTTCTCCGTCATAAATCATTATGATTGAAGTTGTTTCTTGCATAACACGGTGTTTTACTTAAATACAAAAACTTGTAAATGTCATATTTTCTGGATGTGGTAAATGATTGTGATTGCCGGTCAACTACTCATTATCTACAAAAAGTTAAGAATTTTCGTTTTTTTTTTCAAATAATTTATTTTCTTATATGTCAGGAGATATACATATAGAAACTAATTTCAACATCCACATCATCCAAAAACAAGCGGAAACGAATCCATCTTCCGACATAATAATCAATATTCTTCTTAATTCCAAAACCAGACGATTCATTCAGACGAAGCTATCTCGATCATAAAACTAAATTTTGACATGTTCCACATTAACTTTACGAACGTTAAAATAATTCAACGTAACTACACATTTTCTTCACTTCGAACAAACGATAAGTGCGAGCAAAACATAAAAGTTCAAATCTAGTTGTGCCATTCTCTCCATGATATTTGCCAACCCTCACATCTGCAGTTCGAACATATAGAGAAAATACATCGTCATAATGGATATATTCTTTTGAGTGTTACTTTACAACATAGCTCGTAAACTATAAATCAAATACGTTTTTTACCAAACATATGCTCAACAGAAGAACGTTTATGGTTCCATGAGAAATTATCGAATCCTTTTTGAAGTTCAATAACTTCTGAAGGAACTGAAAAGGGTCTTTTTCCAGGTACATGTTCGGTAAAAAAACCCTATTTTGTTTAGAGTTTAGAGCCTACCCTAGTTTTACCGAATCTTCCCACCAATTCAAGTTTATTGTGAAGCTTACAATGCTTCCTATATATCAAATACCTTAATCGTTACTATATGAAGAAAAATATTGCTACAGCAAATATTCACTTTATGGATGTTATCTATGATATACTGCGTGAATCCAATGTCCATATTAACGCGTGTTCAACACAATGTAATTGTCGTACAAAATTATCAAAAATTTCCTGTATGTCAAGTGTCTTGAAAATTTCCCTTCAAATTCACTAGATAGTAGGGTATGAATCGATCGAACATGACATACAACACAGAAAATAACTTCCTCTCATCTTCTACTTTGTTTTGTTACTGCTCTTTTTTGTTTTTTTTATTAACCTGAAGAGTGTTTAAATCATAATGGATAACATGAAACGCATCCACAAAATTAAACTTTTGCGTTATTTCCTGGATCCACAGGCACAAATATTCTTCCGTTGATTGAATATCAATCAAGATCCGTTGATGAAAATCAGAAGTTCAGGTCGATGAATCGACTCATATCTAAAGAATATAGTTTTATGTGTTCCTTGTTAAATTAAGCCCTCAGATAGTCTTAGTAAACATGGTACTCCACTAATTATAGTAGCTGTTCTCAGCTCTATACCATGCATAGAGACTTTGTGAGAAGTGTCTCTATTATATGCTCAATAGATCTTTAGGTTCGAAAAATCGGAATGAAATTTCATAGTGACGTTTGTACTTAAAACTCGTTTTGACTGCATAGTACGAGTTCTCATCTGTCCACAGAACTGTTTGACCAGCTGTGAAACGGAAAAAAAGAAAAAACTTTCTACAGCAACAATACTCGCATGGTGTTGTGTCGCTTCCATGACTACCAATGGGAGTGTTATCAGAGACGAACGCATTTTTAGGAGAAAATCAATAGACTATTGCTGTTCTCCGTCAAATACAAAAATGACTGAGATCTGTGACTGCACTCCTTTCTTCCCGACAGAATAACAACTTTTTTTAATCTCTAATTTTACTTTTAAGAAATTCTTTTTTAGGATGGTAGGAGATTTCCGACTTAAAGTCGGCGGCATTTTTTCAAAATTTTTATTTCATTTTTTCTTCTGGTTATATGAATAAAGAAAGGGAGCAATGCTGCGCTACAGTAGGGAAAAATAATTGAGCAACAAGTTAAATAGAAGCTAAATACTACGTGCATAAAATCATACAAAATTTGAATGTGAGAAAAACGTCATGTTAATGAGGATAGAGTTCGATCGTTGAGCTGTTGTTGTTGTTTCATTATGCAATCACTCATTTCAGATCAAGACTTTTTAATATGCGAAGAGTCGGTTCGATTGATCTCACATGAATTTGAGATTTGGGAAGAGCAAATCCCTCGATAGCACTTTCAGCCATAGTCAGAAATGCTTCCGAGCCGGCCATATAGACATGTGTGTCCGGATGCAGCTTGCCTTGAAGATGGGCCTTTGAAATTGGTTCTTCTTGCGTCAAGATTAAGTATTGACCTGGTGAAAGAATCTTATGTAATATGGCGGCAAAGGCAGCATGACCTTCGGTTCGTACACACTCAACTAATGTTATTGAATCAGCTTTTCCTTGTTTCTTTAATTCTTGGACCATCGCCATGAAAGAAGTAATACCAATACCACCACTAATGAATAAATGATGTTTTGCATCATTGACGAGTCCAAAACTACCAGCCGGAGGTGAAACTAAAATTGTGCTGCCAACTGCACGGTTGTGAATAATCTCTTCCGAAACAATGGCATTCTGATCATAATCATTTCCGTGTTTGAAAGCCACAGTATAAGTGGCGCCATTACATGGTTCAATCAGAGGATAGTGTCCATGATGTAGCACGCCACCTTTTTCAACGCGCAGTGTAATATATTGTCCAGGCTGATAATCAAACAGTTTTGAACCTTCTTGAGGTGCGAGGGTCAAACTGTAAGTCGGTCCACTTGCGACTTCATCTTTCTTGATAACAGTGAATGGAACAAAACCTTTATCGTGTTCATTGTCGCCAAGTTTGTTATACAATTCTTTTTCTTGATTAATGAAGGTTGTTGCAATAAGATCATATAAACCTTGCCATGCAGCCATTAATTCAGGTGTTGCTTTGTCACCCAAATATTCTTTGATTGCTTGCATTAGATACTTGCCGACAACGGGATAATGTTCAGGTTTGACAGTAATGGCGCGATGTTTGCTAGAAATGCGTGCCATCTGCGGTGTCATTGCATCCAAATTGTCAAGATGTTCGCCGAAATAATACATGGTTTGTGCCAATGCTATAGGCTGCTTTCCTGTCTTTTGATTTGTCTGATTGAAAAAACTGCGAAATTCTGGATGTTCATTGAACAATGTTGAATAGAATTTCGTTGTTATTTCTTTGCCATGGTCCTTCATAATTGAAATATGTGATTTAAGAAGTTTCTTTTGTTCGTCGGTAAGAGTCATTTTGATTCTAGAACACAAAACAGAGTTCGTTTGTTTTGTTGACAGAAAAACACGACTAGAACTCAGTCTTCATCTGTATCGCAGGTGAAAATTTATCGGTAAATGATTCAAGTAATGTTCCATCTTTAAAAGGAGGGTTAAGTTTCATAAGCACTATTCTTCCTTCGAAAAAGCACATTTTTGTATGTAGACATAGGTGTAGCACTTGAAATGAGTTTAGGTAAAATATAATTTTACAATTAAATTCAAATTTTACACAACTGGACGGAATATAATGATTAGGAGGGGGAGAACACGACGAGAATGACGCGGTAAAGAGAGGTAAAACGTGACAGGGATAAGCGTAGAGTTGAAACTTGATATTTCAATTCAAGTAAACTTTTGAATTGAATTCAACTGTAAAGCATGGCAGGGCTGATTTTCTAGTAGATAAAACTAAAACTTTAGTTTGAAGTGGTGATATATATTAGAACTTTTTTATTCTTTCATTCATATTCAAACAGGTATCAAGCAGCTATTGGTGCCAAAACACACAAGACATCGTCTCTGTGCTAATTATCTTCATTATGTCTACCCATGCCGCAAAACTGGATCAGTTTTTAGTGACAAACCGCCGTTTACCTCGATTAACGAACCGAAACAACCGATAAATTCCACACAGCAAAAGAAAAAACACATGCTCTTAAATGAATGTTATTTTCTTGTTTTTGAGCAATAAAAAATATTTGACAGCAAAATATTGCACATAAACCTTATTTCTACGTATTCAGTTACGAAATAAGCAGAAAAACTGATTAAAAGTTCTTACTAAAGAAAAATCAGCAAAAATATTTTAAACCAGATCTCAGCTAGGATAGACTCTCTCATTGTGTTGATGATTTCGGCAAGTTCAGTGTGTTGGTAGTATTAGACACATGTTAAAACAGGAAGAAATTTGAAACTTCAAAAACTCTTTGAAAAGCTGACATCATTTCAAGTTCGATACATAGCAAAAGTGCTCAGTTTTATCTGAAGAAATGGCCGATCAACCACGGCAACTGAATCGGTGAAATCACGATCAACTGTCGGTTTTCATTGCATAGATAAAATAGTTTTGCTATAAATACTTTTGAGGACAAGGAGTTCCCTAGCAATCCGAAAAATGCATGGGATCGACGAAAGTCAATGTACTTATATCTAAGTCTCTTTTTTACCTACGATGTCTATCTACACATAAACTAAAAGCCCAAATAGTGAAATCTATTTCTATCGGTATCTAAAAGTTTCAATCTCCTCTAGGACAAATTGAAATCATTTTTTCTCTGTGTATGTTATGAGTAACAATTATAGATTTTAAACTATGTTAGAGTCAGGTGAGAGTAATAAGACGAAATCATGGTCACTCTCACCCTACAAGACATAAATATCTGCAACTTTTACTTACAAAATACACAGAAAAAATTGACCTTAATTTTTCCTAGAAGAGATTAAAATATTAATTTCCACTGCAACAAATAGATATGCAGTGGAGGTAGGAATCGATAAATCTCAATATTTATCTAGGATCAATTATAGATGTAGGTTCTTGAAATATCCATTTATAATCGAACTCAAATGAGTCCCTATCCTTAATAATCAAGGTGATCAATTTACATTTACGAAAATTTATTAAATCCCAAAGTAAGTTGAGGAAAATTTTAATGTATTTTAAATTTAAATTATTATAAGGGGAATTTCTTTTAAAGCCCAATTATCATAATTTAAATTTATTTTAAATTTAAATTGGATTCAAATAGACTTAAATTGGATGTAGATGGATTCAAATCAAATTTAAATGAATTTAAATAGAATTCTAATGTATTTAAACTGGATTCAACTACATTAGAGTCAGGTTTAAAGCCATTTGAATTCATTTAAATTCATTATAATTGGATTTGAATCCAATTTACATCCATTTAAATGAGTTTAAACTCGATTTTAATGCGTTCACGTCCAATTTAAATGGAGTAAAATAGTTTTTAAAATGTTTCCAATGCGTTTGAATCAATTGAAATGGGCATAAATGCAGTTTATATCTATTTAAATTTAACTTTAATGAATTGGAATCGGTTTTAAATCCATTTAAATGGATATAAATAGGATTCAGTTTCATTTACATTGTGTTTCGACTCGATTTAAATCAATTTAAATGAGTTTAAATCCAAGTTAAACGGATTTATATAAGTTTAAACCTGATTTGAATGTATTTAAGTCAAACTTGAATAAGTTTAAATTGAATTTAAATTAATTTAAATTAATTTAAACTTTCAAGAAATTAATAGAAAAATGGCACGCCTACCTAGTAACCAGTTAGGGTATTGAGATGAATAGAAACTAATTTTATCATTGATTAACTGAGTGAAAGTATGGAAATTCAGTGTCTACAGAGTGGTTCATAAAGAAGTAGATGATAACAAAATTTAAATATCTTCACTTCGGTTCAATAAAATGGGCTCATGTTTTGATTAGTAGTACAGCTTTATTCAAATTTTTTTCATGCAGATAATGTAAGTAAATTCTACTGTCAAGTGTTGCCGTTGACTTCATAATAGTTTTGCTTGTTGTCCGTAGGAAAAATATATGTGAAGCAAAGTTCAAAATGAGATGGAGTGGAATGAAAAAATCGTTCCATGAGATTCGATGAGACAACGCATCTAGTACAAAAACTTTTCAAAGACTTGAATCAACATCTGTGATTCTCTTATTCAATCATCTTAGATTCTTTGTATCTTTTCATGTTTAGACCACTATTCATCTGGAACCTAAGCTCAACAATTTCTTTAGAGGATTTTACTTTCATACCTCTATGCATTAGGAAGTAATAGTGTTTCCTATTCAATGCACTTTTTATCCATGAAGTATCAAGTTCTGATAAGTTTTCCTAACTTTTCCAGTTTATGGCATGCTATGGTACAATCTAGTGAATTTCTTTACAGCTTTGTGAACTCTTGTGAAATCTATCATACTTGGAATTCAGAGAATCTATCAGAATCTGCTATCTATCGATTAGTTCTCTTTGAACCAAAACTTACAAAAAAAATGCGTTGAAAACTGATTTTAGAGAAAGATTCCTTACAACCAAAGCTTTCCATCCATCCATATAATCAATATTTATGGAGGAGCTTTGTTAGAGAGCCCTCTAACAATATTTATTGTTATTTTTTGTTTTCTTCTTCATTTTAGTTGTGTATATGTCTTCATTCTCTAGTATGCGTTATCCACTATTGTATATATAGATCAATCTTTTTTTTTCCTCACTCTTTCTTCTCTTCTTTCCTTTTTGTTCTTGAGCATTGCAATAGATTTTCAATCCTTTCTCCTGTTCTAAATTTAAGTGCATTTGAAAAGAAGATGCATGACGTCATCTTCATTATTATGAAATAATCTAGTCCGGAGCAGACCAAGAATATCTACTATCCTTACCTAATCTCTTTCTTTGCTACCTTTGTGTTTCTCTCCTTCTCGTTCTTAATATTTTTTTTGTTTTTTCTCTGTTTCTCTTATGTGTATTGAAGATCTATAGATAGCTGAAAGATCGAATGAAAATAAGGCAATAAGATGTTGTCGATCAAACAGAAAAATAAAATAAAATAAATCGTTTTTTATTAAATCTTTGCTTACAGAGAGAGGCTTCTGTAACAAATGTGTTAAAAACTAAAGCTAGTGTAGAGCACACAGAATTCTGCGAAAATATTTTAAATTTTATTGTTTAAACTTTTCAAAGAAAGACTTAATATTTTTTCACGAAAAATAGCACAAAAGATTAGTAACGAATCTATTTGTATTGAATGATAAAGCCTACAATAAGGGTATAATAAATTCTATTACTCAGAGCTGCCTCAAAGTACCTTATGGAAGCCATACGTTAACAGAAAAATGTTGGATTTATTCATGAGAACTAAAATTGAAAATCTCATGGGACAACAAAATGATCCTATCTTATTTGGAGTTCTGATGTAAAGTATTGTGTAAATATTTTTCAGTGGTCATCCTGAAAAATAGAAAGAAGAAATCAAAATATGTTTTATGAATGATACTACATTGATCTAGATAGGGATAACACTAAAACTCGTGTTTGACAACATAAACACACAATTGAAATTCTTTCCTTCAAGTACCGAATCAGCAAGTTCTCTAGCAAAAAGCAGCATTTCATGCGTAAAGATTCGACGAGCAGTCATGGATGAGTTTTAAACAAAGTGATTCGAAAGACTTTCTCTATAAAGACCAATACAATATCATTCATAAAGTTTGTTTTGATTTCTTCTGACAATTTTCTCAGATAATCACAGAAAAATATTTACAGAAAGCTTCACCTGTATTTTTACTTACTGATGACAGGCAAAATTTCTATTGTGAAGTCAACTGCAAAACTTGACCGTAAAATTTGCTCACATGATCCGGATGAAAAAAAATAGAGTAAAGTCCTACCATTAACCAAAATATCAACCGCTTTGATGGAATCGCAGTACAGATATTTAAATTTCTTATCGTCTAGTTATTTACGATTCGTCCTGTGTATCATCGAATATATATATATATACTCCGAAAAGATCAAGTATAAATCTAGGCACTGCAAAAATGTCATTTGTGGTTATTTATTTTAAGATCGAAACCAAATTGGAAGCAAAGACAAAAATGGAAAAATAAGTGGAAGATAAAAGAGTATTACA